TGGTAGTTCGGGTAATTCAAAAGGTCCACCCAGTAGTTCTGGTAATTCAGAAGGTCCACCCGGTAGTTCTGATAAATCTGAAGCTTCAGCTGGTAGTTCTGGTAATTTAGAAAGTTCTCCTAATATTTCTGTTAGTTCACAAGGTCCACCACCGAATGTGCCAAAGCAACCAATTTCCCCAAACACGGCGATTAATCCAATTTCTACAATACATCAACCTAGTGTTCCCCGACCCACCACACAATCAACGCAACGAATTAATAGTTCGACCACAAATCAACCAATAAAAGCATCAACGACTTTACCAAATCAATCGGGAACTCCTGCTTATCAACCTATTCCGATTTTTTACTTACCACAAAAACCAACTATTCCAGAAATTCTCGGTAAGTCAGCACTGTATCAGTATTAATTTATGACATTGTATTTAACACCAAGCCAATCCCTTGGTAACTCGAATATGTACGTGGTATATAATTACGCATTTACGCTATACGTGTGGTCCATTACACTTGCGGCCTCGGTTGGCAGTTGGCTTTACTTCTTGCCGTCCGTGACTGCTTTGTCTCACGAATTTCACGATTTTTCAACGTCTTTCTCTTCCTTAAGAATTTTAAGAGTAAAGGAAGAAAATTTCCCTTTGATTGCTCTAATTCCATGAAACGAGTTACTCATTTTTAAAAAGAAACAGCAGGGAAAGTCGTTTCGTGGCCCGACAATACCCCATATATTTGAGATTAATGCATGGTGGATGACCCACGAATTCACATCCACGCTTCTTGAATTTTGATATCGCGATGCATTCCTTTACTCAAATGTAAAAGGCCAAACGAAATAAGTACTCTCCCCATTTTCGTCTGGAACGGCGCTTCCCACCGTTGGTAAGGGGATTAATTTAATTTCTATCATGGTTTTCCACAGGAAGAAGCTTCAAAGTTAGTATGGTGCTCCCCCAACAACCATTTGGAGACGACTTGTTGCGTACGAACAGCCTCATTTTTCACCAACTGAAAGATGCCCTGGAACAAGCGGTAATTAATGACTTATTGCATAATGCCACAGCCAACTCGATGTATTTACATTGGAACAATAGCATGCAAATTTCTACGCCATCAACTTAATTGTGTTCACACAGACACTGTCACTGGTGGAATTACTATGTTACCTGTTGTCGAACTTACCGATAGCTTATGCTAAGTATCGCATAATTTTACGCGAGTTTCACGAAACCGATATAGTTTCATTCTTTGAACAAAGCGAAAATTGAGAATATATGGAAACAACTTTGACGTTTCGAGCGAACAAGAAAACGAACAGAAATGAACAATTAAAATCCTACGGACGTTTTAGACGTCGCCGGTTGCTCTGTTTACAACGGCAGAATACAGATTATCACTTCTCGTATATAACGCTTACATTTCAAGCTGGTTGTGGAAAGCCAGTGTTTGGACTATTGTCGTATTGGCGTAAGAGATGCAATTGATGATTAAAAAGCGAGTCGTATAGTAAAACAGATTGGATGCGAATGCTTAATATAACTGTCTTAGGATAAAAATTCATTTTATGCATAAAAAAATCGCAGCTAAAGTTTATGTAATCATTAGCACGGGAACTGACGGTTGATTAAATTTAACATTCTTTTCCTTTCCGGAAATTTCTTCGTGAATAATGATATTGTAATAACAATATTTCACACCGTATTTTTACAGATCCGCAACCTGTATGCAGATAATTCACACTTCATGGACGTCCAAGTAATTGAATTTCGGTAAGTTTATGTGATCTAGATTGGAAGAAGTAAAATAAAAAAGTAAAACATAATAACAACGAATGTTCTGATGATGGCCTGGTGTGCAGCAAATCTTAAAATTTCACAATTCTCAGAGTTTGAGATGGTATAAACCACCGCTAAGTCAATGTTTTCTACGGATCGATCCATAACAAGTGACGGTTTGGGTTAGCGGTTGCTTGAGATTGTTGGCGTTTTGTCATTCCGGAGGAAAATTGGGATCAAATTTGATTCAACTAAATTATGGCTTGAAAAATTCGTGTTACTGATGGAGTGATGGTTGCATATAAATTCTTAAGGAAACTTTCCGGAAGACGGTTACCCTATAACGACAGCGCCACAATCCTTTTTATTTTCCGTCCGTTAATGTTTCAGAAAACCATACATAGCTTGGCTAAGCTGAACTATTGAACTTTCCAGTTATGTATAAATATGATTTGTTTTAGTGCGATAAACAAAGGTCTAGTTAGCCGTTCAAATATACCCACAACGAAGATGAACAAGGGCTATGGCGAACTTGTCACAGTTATCATCATAAAGTTAAATTTTAACCAGGTTATGAAAGGCCATCTTGTTCTCCTTAGCCGTCAATTGGACAGCGGAGTACTCGGAAGTGTTGTCGTTCGAAGAACGTTATTTGCAGGTATAACATTCGATATGGCGAAAATATATTGTATATATAGTAGCAACAGAAGAATACTTTAAGTACTCAGATTTTCCGTTGTTGTTTTTATTTCAGCTCGCACTGACAAGGATTCGTGTAAGTCAAGTTGCAAGAAACCTAATATTTGCTTCCCATCATGCACAGTCGTCTGCTGTTTGCCTGATGACGCACGTCAAATTGTCCAAAGGAATGCTGCTGGGGTAAAAATTCCTGCATGGCTTCGACGACACACAAGACCTGCTGGGACATGAAAATGATGAAATGTAGCATCACAACTGATCTGAAAGGTGATTGGATAGCGCAGGCGGTTGTCCACTGGTAATGAAAATGGTAATTTCTAGGCCTACTCCTAGGGAACAATACGATAAAATATCGCTACTTCTTATATACACCAGATAAGACGCTACAAGGAACAAAAGCTTAAAATGGATGCGGACATTGGACAATGTATAGTTTTAGCTGTGTTGCCAGCTATGCAGCCAATTCGGGAAGTTACTATATATGCAGGTTTTGACTGTATTTTAATGAATATTGGTATACGTTTACCGACCTAATAAGTCAATTGTAATATTCCTGAATAGTCAATACAATTTTACAAAATATATTTCTGTGTTGCGTAGATGTAATTCATGAGTTATCAGATTTTATTCCTATATAAACGTTCGGTTTGGGCAATTCCAGTAAAATTTGATTTAGGCAAGAAGAACAAAATCCATCACCACAGCTAGAAAGAGCGTGTTAAAATTAGTAAAATTGCAAAGTTTGGCCGCGAAATGTTGTAAAATGCGGAAAATATAGCACTGCGAAATTTACAAATTGTATATTAATTTTTATTATATATAGTAGAGAGTGAGATACTGAAAAATACACAATGAGATATTTTCCATATCTTCACTAGTGAAGATATCGATCACGTGACTTTTTCCAATTTGCTTTTGAGCGTGAAATTTCACAATCTTTTTGCTTGGGACTATATAATAAACAGAACATTACACGGTGGCTTGAAGATACGACTTTTATCTTCTCGTGTTAAAAACAATATTTTACTCACTCGCTGCGCTCGTTCGTAAAATATTGTTTTCATAATTTTGTTATATATTTACTCACGCTAATGGGACTGGAACATAGTGCCACAGTTGGTTTCACTAAAATGTTACGTAGTCAAATCTAAAGCCGGTTTTCCACTAGGCGGAATTTTGCGCGCGGAGCGGACTTTTTCTTTGTCTTGTGATTTCTCGGGTGGAACTAATTAGAAAAGACAAAGAAAAATTCCGCTCCGCGCGCAAAATTCCGCCTAATGGAAATCGGCTTTAATTTGTGGACAAGACTCAGATATTCCAGGGTAGTACAAAGTTTTAAGAAAGTTTTAAGACTGTATTACCTGACTATTGGGCATTTGCCACCTATAGGCATTTCCCTATGGCTATATGATTGTCTGTTTTCTATAAATAGTGAAATAGTGATGATGACCACATATACAACAAAGCCACAAATGTGATTTATGGATCCGCTATGCAGTCTTTAACCCAGTGTAAATAGCTGGGCGGAATTAGTACCATCGCCTCTGTATACATCACATGGCATAGTGGGGGCCTCAGTCAGGAATTTTCGCGCGCGCTTTGTTTTGTTTTACTTTCTTAATTATTTTTGGCCCTTCAGCCTTTTCTTAACCTCGAAATTCTACCGATAATTAAATAATTCCCGTATTAGTAGTTCGCCTCAATAATATAATAATATTCAGCACACGTCATCATGTACAATGTACGCGTGCAATTTGTGGCCGCAATTTCCAAAGTAATAACTTGAAAGTTTTCTTTTCATTTTTTATCAGTGACCAAACAACAAGTATTAGCTTTGTAATTGTGATGCTGTTTTAATGGAAAGGCGGTTGAAAATTAGAGTATTGTTGATTTTGGGAAGATTGGTTTAAATTCTGCGATTGTGAAAGTTGTCCTTGTAACGCCAATTCATTTGCGAGTTGCCCTGGTAAAGTTATTTTTGCGGGTGCTGACATCTGGCGTTGAAGATTGACAGAACCACCAACTGAAAAAGAAAGTAACGAAAATTGCATTACGGATGTCAGAATTAATGGGGGGGGAATGGGGGAACGGAGATGTAATAACTTAATGTGTATAATAGATAAGACTAATTATAATTGCTAATTATTCACTAACGTATTGCTAACATGTAAACATGTAAACATGTAATCATATATTCATAGTACCCGAGGCAGCGTTTACACTGTACCGTTTTCGTAGCGTTCTCGTATTGTTCTTAATCCTCAAGGGAACGCAAGACAATAGTCTAGTTCTCTCGAACAATACGAGAACGCTACGAAAACGCTACAGTGTAAACGCTGCCTGAGTGTAGAGACATTGAGATTAATAAAGCATACATGTGCACAGCACAACAGGAGAATATCATATTCCCCCTTTTGAAGATCTTTAAAAGGGGAATACGATATTCCCCAATATTCCCCGAGATATTTCCCCATTCCCCGATACTCCCCGTTCCTCCATTCCCCTTTTAAAAGATAGCCATGTCAGAATTGTTTCCAGAGGTTGTATTTACAGAATGGGGCGTGGTCGGCATAGCCATTAGTTGCATGACGTTGTCTGACAATAATTGAGTCTACCAAATACTGCTGCTTTTCTCCGGGTATTACCGCGATTTTCTCCACCTGTAGCAGTACTGGACCAATAACTAAAGGCGTTATTAGCCCTCTATGGAGAACAGCTGAGAACCTTATTCGAAACAGATTCCTCCAGCGTGGTTTATAGAAGCGGTGCCTTATACGGCATTTACCCAAGTCATTCATACTGCTAATAATTGCACATCTGTGATTATATTTCTCTTCGCGTTTGTAATGGGGACATCAAACTTCTTCTACTCATTGGAGAAACGGAAATGATCCAAACACAATACCTGTACTTTGGCGTAGAAGATTAGAAAAATTTATTCTTTGTGAAAACGGTTTCTGGACAGAAACCACTGGATGCCTTAGCGAAGACGACGTCATTGGATGTTGTAAAGGCGTAGTAGGTTGTGAAGCATTTAGTTGTGACATGAATGATTGCTGCATTGTTTCCTGATTTAGTGATTTCTGATGAGCGAGTGGTTGCGACTGTTGGAGACTCAACTGTTGGGATGTGTCAACGCTGCTACTAGCCCCTGATATTGCAGAAAGAAAAATCATTGGCTTATCTCATACGAATTTCTTTGTGGGCACAATTTAATTGTCAAAGTATTTAATTTGTACAAGAAAGAGGAAATCATTCGCCAAATAAAATTCTTTAAGCGGGTTTACTCTTCCCTGTGTGATATATTTTTACAGTGATACCCTGATCTCCTCGGGTTCTTTTTTTCTCCAAAGGAATGTAAACCTCGTATTTCCATTATTGTTCATGCACGAGGGACGTTTATCGTTTGTCTTCTACTTTCCCCGTGCTTATAATGATATGCAGGAGGGAAACTTAGTGGTAGGGAAAGGTTTTCTTTGTCTTCTATAATCTTCCTTGTATATCAATGAGGGAAAATTAGAAGACAAAAACTTATTTGTATGCCAGTCAATTCCCGGATCTCCATCGGTGCTACTATCATCATTGACATTATCAGCACTGATAAAGATATAGAGAATAATACATGGGTGCGCGGAAATACCAGATTTATTTCGAGTGTTCAACATGATATTTTTCTGTTTATTATATAAACAAAATTCAGTGAAAAACAATAAAACGTCCGTGGCAATGCGTTTTACAACAAATGATATTTTCACACGTAAAACTGAATATCGTATTTTTTACGTGTGTTTAAATACGATTTTTCTCAGTGGCCAAAAATTCTATATAACACTTATGTTTATATAATAAACGGTCTGATTTTTCCTTTAATCCACTGATATTCGAAAACTTCCTTAGACTAACGCCCTCGGACTTTCACAAATATTACCTCGACGGCTGGGAAATTTAATCGCTATATAGTTTCTAAATGACTTGGGGAAATTAGAAACCAGTATAAATTTAGTAGTGGCGGTGGAACAGGGGGGGGGCTAGGGGGTAAAGCCCTCCACAAAAATAAGTGGGTGAGCTAACCCCCCCCAAAAAAAAAATGGATAAGATTCCAAATTTTGAAGTTTATATATAAAAATGCGGAAATTTAGAGACAATAATCGGGAAAGATGAAAGAAAACCGGCAAGTGTATTAAAAATAGCAAGTAGGAAAAAGGCTGCCTCGTCCCCAGGCATATACGCATTTCACATACGAGTCACTATATAAAAGGTTTACATGAAGTAGTGCGTCATTATAGGCGCGCAAAGGGGGATGGGATATGAGCGTTATGCCTCAAGCCTACACGCGTAAAAATCATCATGTTGTTGCAAGTTGTCAACAAGTTGCTGCAACTTGGTTCTGAACAGGATGCTGCAATATTGTGCGGCCCACTTGCAGCAATGTTGTCAACAATATTGTTCACGCTTGTTCGAACAATGTTGTTGACGCCTGATGAACGAACAAGGCCTGAACAACGTTGTTGGAACAACTGAGATCAACCTGATATCAATGATGTTTTATATTGTCAACAACTGCGAACAGTCTTGTTTTATCAATACGTAAACAACCTGATATCAATCTGTTTCGACGCTGTTATTCGTGGCCATTTTCCAGGGGGGGGAAGAGAAATTTAAAGGCACAGTTCAGCCTTTTGAATGATGGTTTTTAAGGCGCATTACAAGCCTTTTAATTGAAAAAACTAATTAGGAAAATCAATTAAGCACAATTCAAGATCAGTGATTTCAATGTTTTTAACATTTTTAAACATTTCTAATGTTTTTTAACATTGAGTTCACTGATTTTGAATTATGCTTAATTGATTTTCCTAGTTAGTTTTTTCAATTAAAAGTCTTGTAATGCGCCATAAAAACCATCACTCAGAAGGCTGAACTGTGCCTTTAAATAAGCACACAAACAGACAAACTTCGCTTCTTGATATGAAATTCAGTTTATTTTGAAATAAGAAAATACAGATTAGTGAACAAATACAAACTAAAGAGATAATTACAGTAAAAGTACAAAGGTAAGATAATTATAAACTATTTTATATGCAATTAAGGTTTATAAAATACTAAGTACTATTTATAAATCTAAATACTTCATAGTGTTAAGTGTTTTGACTTTTGAGTTCATATTAAATACTGGTAAACAATGGCAGTATTTTAGCAAAAGGTAGTGCAACACTGCAACCTCTATAATTATTATTTAGGTATTGTCAGGATGGAATTTGAATCTGTTGGAGCAAGTCTATCACAGAGATTTTATGAACCATGCATGCAATTTGTACATAATCATATATTTGCCCATTATATTTATAAACTGACAGTTAATAATTAATCATTCACAGACTAATAAAATCATCTGGGGCCGGTAGTTCAAAGGCTTACACGGGCTTCGAACAACCGGGCCCAGATGATTTTATTAGTATGTGAAAGAGTAATGGTATTAACTGTCAGTTTATAAATATAATGGGCAAATTAGAGAGAGTATATAAAATACTAAAGTAGGCTCATTGCCAATTGATGGATTAGGTTAACATAATTAATAAACTATAGATGGTTTTGTTGCATCTCACTCAATGGAAATTTTAATGTTGGGTTTTGTTGATGGATAAATGGAGTACTTAATAATTTGAATTAAAATATGGACCTAACCAGGCCCTTATTGCCTGAATGGCATCTTATTCAAATAATCATTTAACTTGAAATAAAGGGATCTCCCTCAATTGATTTAGCCTGCAGAGGGCCAACCCCATTCCTGGATCACTTAACCTGAAATTCAGGCCCTACTTTCAATTTTCTGTCTGCATCCTTTTGAATGTTCAATATTTTTAACCTTACATTAATGATATTAATGATTATTCAATTAAAGTCAACAATTTCTTTTTCATCCTGAGAACATCCAGTTAATTCAGTCCTCCTGAATTTGTTTGACACTCCTTAGCAGTGATATTTCTGTAGATTTGCCACTATTTTATTCCAGATATGAACTCACAGGCCCTATAAATTAAGATTAAATACATAGTGCCATTAATTTACAAAATGGACCTTTGCAATGTTTATGCATGCACTAGTCAATTGAAACCCCCGGGACAGGGCGGGGAATTAATGGGGGAATGGCCGTGGATTAACACGGTCTTAATGCAGCATTTCCCCCGGGGTACAGGGTAAATAACAAGTCAATTTATTAGCCAGGACAATTCCCAAGTCATGAAAATTTCCCAAGTCATGAAAATTTGCAAATTAGTGCTGGGGCCATAGGGACAGTAATTTTAACAGTCAATATTCTCCCGGTAGCAGGGAAATGTCCAAAATTTAACATTGTCAAAATGTTAATTTCCCCGCCCTATCCCGGGGGTCGGGGTTTCAATTGACTAGTGCATTATGGTGGGATGCAGCCCCAATTGTATGTTTCCCACCATATTTTACATGGCTTATGCCATATAACTTCAGTACATGGTCATTTTTGGATCCATGCCTGGGACATATCATAATCTTGAATCTAATTTGGGTATTCAATCATGTTTAATAGACATATAGGCAGTCCACATATGGACTGGTCATGCTATGTCTAAGTGCATGGCTATTGCCAAAATAGCCTCCATCTACACAGACCACAACAAAGGTATAAAAATTACTTACCAAGTTATCACCCATTGTATATAATTTGTCTGACATGTTCATAGATCTTTATTTTTATACTTAAGTTTACACTACAAAAAGGATAAAAATGAGACAATAATTACATGTGAGCATAATAATGGTCATAATTATCCCCCATAGCCATGTGATAAAATCATAGCTACCTCCTTCATATACCTTCCATGACAATTATAGTCACCTGCTTAACCAGGAAATAAAAGGAAATATGAGAAATGGCTAATTATTTAACTGTATGCACTCTTGCCTACCTACCTATAATCTATCCATCACATATTATATGCAGTAAATACATCATTCTTGGTGTGTAAACTGATCAAGTATTTGGTTGACCTTGTTAAAACACAATAGGAATTGTTTATATATATAGCAGTGATGATATGATAGCGTTTTTGACATATCAAATTTCAAAGTTAAAAAGACTCTGACAGAAATTTAGAGTGTAATTGGAAAAATTTAAACAATATTTTGAGAATTAAATGTTTTGTTTATATTGACGGCTTTTATTACAGTATGACCGTGGTTTCTTGTTTCATATATACTGAAAATATAGAGAAAAATATCAAAATGCAATGCCTATATAAAAGTACTATAAAGTTTGTGCATGTGCATTTCTTCGTCGTGCACTATGAAAATGACTAAAATCAAATGGTCGGGTTGTTTTAAGCTTTTACAACTAACCTTACCTCAAAACAAGACACTTACCAAGTTATTTTCTTCAGTATTTTTCCCTCAATCTTCAGAAAAAACCACAAAGTTTAAACGACATTTATTTCGCTGTAAAAGCCCGTTTGATTTCTTGCTCTCGTGATATTCGTCCCATTCGTCCGTTTTGCATCCAGCGCTTTCGCAACAACCAATAAAAACAAGTTTTCGTGTTGTTCAAATCATTATTTTACCGTCTATTTATAACAATGCTGTTCACGGTTGTTCGAACAACTAAAAACAACTTGTTCTTTTATCAATGTTGTTCACGCCTGTTCGAACAATATTGTTGACGCCTGATGAATAAACAACGCTGAACAACATTGTTCTGACAACATTTGTCAAACATGTTTCATCAACCTTGTTGACGCTTGTTCCATCATGTTGCAACAACCATTGTTCGTTCATCAAGCGTGAACAAGTTGTTGGAACAATGTTGTTAACGATTGTCGCTTGAACAACGTTGTTCAGCCATGATAACCTCATTGTTGCAACGTTGTTCAGCGAACAATGTTGCAACAACCTGATCAATTTTTACGCGTGTACACGACTAAGAACGCACAGGTTGTTCCAAGTTGATATCGACAGGCGTGAACAATGTTGTGCGGTCAACTATGAACAAGTTGTCAACCATGTTGTTCCAAGTTGTTACAGTTGAACAATGCTGTAACAACATGTTGACAATACTGTTCATAGTGGGCCGCACAACCTTGTTCACGCCTGTTGATATCAACCTGGAACAAGTTGTTGATTTTCTCAATTTTTACGCGTGTAGCCTAGACTAATTAACTTTATAGCAATTGTGATATTGTTTCCTAAACTATGTTTATCCTAACCCACCCTGTCAACTTTCCCTGTGGGAGGAAACCGCGCGGAGAAATCCCACGACTTTCGACAGAGTTTGACTATTTTCACATGAGTCCATAGCGAGAATCGAACCCACGATATCAGAGGTGAAAGGTAGGGATGAGCCGATTAATCGGTAAATAATCGGCAAAGCCGATTAATCGGCCGTTTTTTAAATAATCGGTAATTGGCCGATTATTGCCTGATAATCGGCACTTAATCGGCCATAAGACTTTTTCTGCAGCTGCCAAGCACATGCTAGAATACTGAATACAAGCGAATAGATTTTCACATTTTGTTGCAAAACCCGTGTCTTTTGTCTCAAGCGAAGTGAAGCTGGGAACATTTCCACTGAAAAACGCAGCAGACTAGCTCCGCATAGCTGACAATATCCTGTTTTTACATCATAATCTGCCAAAACTAAACTTTGACTATTGACATGCAAGATTAAAGCTATTTTTAATTGTACATAGTGTGTACTGTAAAGTTGTAAACAATAAAACCGCATTTACAACTTCATTGTTGGTCATCTTGTGATTTTTCGCCTGCTTTTTAAAATAATCGGCGGGTACCGATCAATCGGCCGATTAGTTACGATGATCGGCTTATAAATAATCGGCCTCAGTAATCGGCAATTTTCCTTATCGGCTCATCCCCTGCGCCACCGAAGCCCCCGTACTGTAGGGAAAGCCCACGACTTTCGGTTGACCGTTGACTACCAGGAGGAAATCTGTTGGTTTTTGGTAGAGAAAAACTAGTGGAATATCGCACAGAGCGAAACCTGGTCACAGAGTTGTGAGATAGATTGTGGGTTCGGCTCTCGCTGAGATTCTCCCTTTACAAATGGCAGAACTCCCTTTTCAAATGACAGAACTTGGTTTTCAAATGCCAGAACTCCGTTTTCAAATGCGGAACTTGGTTTACAAATGCCAGAACTCCCTTTTCAAATCGCAGAACACCCTTTACAAATGGCAGAACTTGGTTTTCAACTGGCAGAACTCCCTTTTGAAATGCCAGAACCCCCTTTTAATATGCCGGAACTTCCTTTTCAAATGCCAGAACTCCCTTTTCAAATGCCAGAACTCCCTTTTGAAATGGCAGAACTCCTTTTTCCAATGGCAGGACTTGGTTTTCAAATGGCAGAACTTGGTTTTCAAATGGCAGAATCGAAGTACCTTTTCAAACGCCAGAACTCCGTTTTCAAACGCCGGAACTCTTTTTACAAATGCCCAGAACTCCCTTTTCAAATGGCATGCAGAACTTTGTTTTCAAACTCCAGAATTCCGTTTTCAAACTTCAAAGTATTGAAAAGAGTCAGGTTTTTTCATGTAGTAACACTTAAAATAAGCAATGACACGTGCTTCATCTCTAGACTAAGGAGAACAGTTATAAATAAAGTCAGTTAAAAATCAGCTTTTCTTTCTTTTTTCTAGATTGTTCGAAATTTCAGGAAGCCTTTGATTGTCGCTTCGCCCAAACTTCTCCTAAGATCTCCGGTAAGCATTTTTGCGTGGTAAAGCCTAGTTTCTATTAGTACACCCTATTTACTTACTTTATAGCTCATTTTGTGTTTTCTTTGTATTATTTATATTAAGGTGGCTGTGTCAAAACTGAGTGAGATGGCTCCTGGAACACACTTCCATCCAATCTTGGGAGATAATCACGTTGATCCAAGTCAAGTTAAACGAGTCGTTTTTTGCTCAGGAAAATATTATTATACTCTAGCCAAGGAAAGAGAAAACAGAAATATTCAAGACACTGCTATAATTCGTCTCGAGGTATATGTCACTATGGATCTCATTAGGTGCCATTTCGGTAGTAACAACTACAACAAATAACACTTAATAAAACGAAAGCTAGAGCACAACAACAAAATTTTCGAGCACAGATATATGTACTGTGCATTCTTTGACCTATTATTAAAGTGGCACTGTCATCAAAATTTTTATTTTCTTAAACGAAAATGCTCTTAAAACTGTATAGTAACTTGTTTTGAGGATTTTTGTTCCCATGCTTAGTTCTTGAGATATTTCATTTTGTTTGTAAACATGTGACGTCATCTACTCAATTACATATATAATGAGATATCAGTAATTGTTGTATATATTTGCTATTTTTGATGGATTTGTTTAAAAAAAACAGTATGCTTAATGATGTAGGTTAAGTTAACAAACGCGCCGCATCTTTCGAAAGATTTTGATAAAAAATAGCAAAGATACACAACAATTACTGATATCTCATTATATATGTAATTGAGTAAATGACGTCACATGGTTACAAAAAAATGAAATATCTCAAGAACTAAGCTTACATGAGAACAAAAATCTTCAAAACAAGTTACTATACAGTTTTAAGAGCATTTTCGTTTAAGAAAATACAAATTTTGATGACAGTGCCACTTTAAAACCAGGAGCAGTTGCGAAAAATGCAACTATAGGCTTTAGGTTAACCTAAAATTCAAAGCAAACTTCCTGACAGCTTGTCTATAAATTTGGAAATATTTCTTCAGAGATCTTGTCTGGATCGATAGGAGTTCACTTCTCTGAAGTTTTGAAATAAACAGACGTGTAGAAATACACAAACTAAAACAGCAGGTTAAAAATTTTAACCCAGGGCTAGCGCTAACTCACCTTTGAACAACCGGCCCCTGAGCTACAGTTGCTGAGCGTTAACTACAGATTCACCTATACCATGTAAAAACCCATCTACTTTTTGTTCTATCATTTCTTTATTTACCCACACAACAATAAAAGCATCTTGGCGCCGATATATGTACGCTTACGTACCTATTTTTAACATCGTAGGCATTGACACCATTCCCTGCTGAAGATATAAAGAAAGAAGTTCAGAAATATTCTAACGCTTCAGGTAAGCTCTTGTGATCTCATTGCCCTCATTTTTCCATGTTTCTTGGTCTAGTCACCGCGGGTAAAGCCCGTTTTTCACTAGGCGAATTTTTTCCCGCAAAGCGACTTTTTGCTTTGTCGGCATCGCTTACTCGGCTTAGCTCAGCAAAAGCGATATCGCTTATTTATACGTCGACAAAACCGATCCCGACAAAGGAAAAAGTCGCTTCGCGGGTTTACTTCAGGCCTATTTCCACTCGAGAAAAATTTCCTGACAGAAAATTTTCCGAAAATATCATTGTTAAAAGTTAAAAATTTTCAACTTCAGATTTTTTTCCAAGCGGAAAATTTGTGTCGGGCAATCACATTTTACAAAATTTTCTTTCTGCGGAAAATTTTCATGAGTGGAAATTTACGGTCACTTCGTTGAATGGTCAGTCGCCTTGAGTGGAAAGCCAATGATAAACCTAAAAGGGTGGCAGGGATCAATAAAACGGTCGGCCACCGGCCATTAGCCGAGCAAAATCAGTGCTGATATGGCCGTCTACTGATTGCTCTGCACGGACATTTATTGCCGACCGTTTTTTGTCTCATCAATTTGGATATTTATTTATTTTAATAGTGTTGCAAATCTTTTTAACAAAATCTGTAATATTTAACACATGCAAACAAAGATTCCTTCTGCTAGACAATCACAGAATCTGACTTCGTCCCGATGCACACAATAACAATGTCATCTCGTGTGTTAAGAGAAATATTTTATATTATATATACTGTTACTGCATGAGTAAGTTGTCGTTGAAATTGTGTAATTTTGTTAACCATTATGCATATGTTTTGGAATTTTGGTACGTATTTGTTTTGGTTTTTAGTACTATGACAACTGCCAACGTCCCTCTTGAGAATAATTAAGTGTCCGATCATGTCCGACAAAAACATGCATGGGTTGGTCTGACATTGTGTCAGACCAAGTTTTCAGAATTATATTGAACTCTGAAAGGTGGAAGGCTATATGATCGTGCTTACCGAAAAACGTGTAATAATTGTGTTGCATGTATGCTTTTCTTGTAATGTAGAGTTTATTTGGTGTCAAGAAGAACATCGAAATATGGGCGCTTGGACGTTTGTCAATCCTCGCTTTGATAACCTCATTGGTGTCAAGGTAGGCCGAACAACATTTGATATTGGCTTGGCGGCTCGGTGTTTAGTATATATGCCTAGCTTTCAACTTTGCGACTAGTTTTGGATTCCTACAATATGGATTGGAGACTTACTCCAAGTTTACCTTGAAATGGCTTCAGTTTGATATGCCGGGTCTATCCAGTCTGTTATAAGATCAGTTTCATTTTGAATTGGGTCTATCCAGTCTATATGAAATCAGTTCATGAAACTGACCCATAATAGACTGGATAGACCCTAGATAGACTCAAAAACAAATGAAGCCATTTCGAAAGTCTATGCAGTATGCAGTTTTTTATTATAATTGCGCCTCAGTTGTATATGAAGAAGAGTGTATCCAGTTTGATTCGACAAACTGCTACTTTCTTCTTCTGGTATTCTATAGAGATGACTCTTACTGGACCTCTAGGGAGAGCAGTTTAGAACTGATACAGCTAATAACTGGTGTAAATAAAAGTTTCCGTAATAACATAACTTGACCGATAATGGATTATCCTTACTGGACTTTTTGGGAGGGCAGTTTAGAACTAACCTGTAGAGCTAACCTGTATAAATTAAGGTTTCCTCCTGTAATAATATTACCGATAATAGATGATCCTTACTGGGCTTCCAGGGAGAACAATTTACTGTAAACTGATAGAGCTATATCCACTATAAATAAAGTTAGTTTTTCAATTGTTTTATTTCAACGTCAAATTTGAAATAACTTGCGATGTTCGAATGCCTTTCTCCATGGTAAAGTAAACATTTTTCTGACGAAACTGCAGTTAGAAAATACCCAACTCGCCTGGAAGTGTATTTCTTCCGTTTGTCAATGCCCATTCTGGAGTATACGATCTATATACCAATTTATTGAATGGTATATGTAAGGTATTTTATTTATGCATCGTAAATTTTAAGCGTATGAGTTTGTATTTCCACTGTGCCTGTGGACATATATCCAGTATAAATACAGTTAGTTTTTCAATTGTTTTATTTCAATGTTTTCTTTCTAGTTACGATATGTAGGTAGAAAGATTCTGGCCACGCCAGCTGTTGGGATGGGCAAAGTTCACGAACAAGAATCAGCGGAAATATTAAACTCGGTATTTTGAATTCCAGCAAGTATTGGTGCCAGTCAAAATAGTATAGGTATAGAGATTGGGTCGCGCAGGACTAACGGGTGACTTATTCGATGAGTCGCGCGCGAACACTCCAAGGAAGGAGAATGTAGTTCAAGTTTCATGACGTGTCCGCTAGCGCGAACGAACAGCAAACTCGTCTGGTCAACTGCAGTGCATGTCGAAACCACTATATATCTGATATACACTAGATAGCGCATCTCTTTTAGTAAAATTGAAGCCAAGAATATTCCAGCGGTTACCCCCATTTGAATAGATGGCGACCATGTTGGTCGTTCCCACTTGCTAATAAACGCTTAAAAACAACAATAACTTTCATCATTTGAATAGCTTAAAAACGTATTTAGAATAGTGTTAACTTAATGTTTAAGTTCCCTGTTTAAGAAATAGAAAACATACGAATCTTCGCATTTCATGGGAACGACCTGAGACTGCAATCACGGCTTCAATTTTTGAATTGCAGAATAATTAGATGCACTCTCTAGTGTATATAAGATATCTATGGTCGAAACGAGTTCGCGCAGACGAAGTTGAATAATATGAACTTTTCACTAGTTCACTAACAAGTATAGCATCTGAATTCCAGTTCCCATTTATTGGTACCATTTGCATTCGGTAATAAAGTTACGTGGTGTTTCCACAAACAAAAAGTATCATATGTTTTATCGCCATGCAATCCTACATTCTACAAGGAATTTCTTAACTTGCGTAATTAAACTTGGAGTTTTAACATTTATATGATGGAAGTTAAAAGCAAAGCAAAAAATAATAAATCATTACATGATGTATAGACAGCGGCAAAAGGTTCGTGTATCAAATGATATTTGGTGACGGAACTCAGAAAGAATGAACCTAAAGTTTAATACGTAAATTAGTGCTGGAAATTGTTTTCAAAATCATTACTATGGGAATAGTATATGGATATTAATGTTTGTGATGTTACTCGTAGTGTATATCCACACCGGGCGAGCTTGAAAAATATGCCCGGCCACGGTGGGAATCGAACCTACGACCTCATCCTCGTACCCAGGGTCTTTTTGAAAAGTCCCTGCGACGGAGGTTGCTACGACCTTTGGAATACTAGCCCAATGCTCTGCCAACTGAGCTACGCGGTCAGGTCGGTTCGAGTGAGTGATATTTCGGAACAGAATCTAGTTCCTTCGATACCAATGTAATCTAGTACCTGACCGCATAGCTCAGTTGGTAGAGCATTGCATGGGCTAGTATTCCAAAAGTCGTAGGTTCGATTCCCACCGTGGCTGGGCATATTCTCATATTTTTCATGCTCGCCCGGTGTGGATATACACTCAGAGTAACATCACAAACATCATATTCACCTGAGTACACAACACCAACACAGAAAAAAATATGGATATTAGTTGAAAATAGTATGGAATCCAATTGTCACACTGATTGCAATTTCCATACTATGGATATAGTATGGAAATACTATATGTATAGGTTATTTTGAGGCAACGTGGGGATATGTGATTTATTCACCGAGGCGCGCAGCGCCGAGGTGAATAAATCACATATCCCCGAGGTGCCTCAAAATAACGTACTTATTTTTCACCCTGCGAGGTCGCGTTAATGAGTCAGAAAAGAAATAATTCTCAATGCCATATTGCTTTTGCGATGTTGTTTTTTCTCATTTTTTTGTGCTGCAAAGACATTGCATGTGAATATTAGAGGGGATTATTAATTGCAGGTGAATATTAGAGGGGATTATTAAACGGAAATTGATTAGAGGGGAATATTGAATATATTCCCCGACAAGAACAAAGGAAACCGAGCAGGGTGAAAAATAAGGTTTTATAGTGATGCAATCGCAAATTCAACAGAATGAATTTCACTATTTTTTTCCAATGTAGGAGGATTTTGTATCAGATAACAAGCTCCTTCATAGTCAGGATTTCCTGGCTTTGTATTCTGTCATGACTATTACCGAAATTACGAATCGATATTTTACCGCCGTTTACTCCCACAATTTCCGTCAAATTTGAAATAACTTGCGATGTTCGAATGCCTTTCTCCATGGTAAAGTAAACATTTTTCTAACGAAACTGCAGTTAGAATAACACCCAACTGGCCTGGAAGTGTATTTCTTCCGTTTATCAATGCCCTTTCTGGAGGGGGCGTCGATCTACCAATTTATTGAATGGTATGTAAGGTATTTTAGCCCTTTCTGGAGGGGGCGTCGATCTACCAATTTGTTGGGGTTACTGGTTAGGGTTAGGATTAGGATTAAGGTTAGGATTAGTGTTTGGATTAGGGTTATTGTAATTGTAGAATCATTACAACCCGATTCTTTACTACATACAATGGCTTTACATCTACAATACGTCAATAGATTATTGGTTACAACGTGCGGAACGGCTGAACACTGAAGCCAGTGGGCGGAATTTTTCTTTGTCTTGTTATTTCTTGGGTGGAACTACTGTAATTTGAAAAGACAAAGAGAAATTCCGCTCCGCGCGTAAAATTCCGCCTAGTGAAAACCTGCTTTAAGGCCCATACAGACTGGGACGCGGTTTGGCAACGCGACGCGAATTTTCAGTTTTCAATGACATTTAACTTTAATATTTTTCAGTGTTTTTCAAATATTCGGGACCACTTAATTAAGCAATTTTAGCTATTTGGTCTGCATATCGGTAAAATTTTTACCCGTAAATTTATAAATTTCGCAATCGAATTAGGATGTTGACTTTTCTTATACAAGTTGAATAAGTGATCGCGTCTAAATGTCAAAAACAACTATTAAAATGCCCTGGATACGAGGTTGCTATTGCTATCGACCTTTTTGCGTGAGGTGATCGCGTCGCAAGGGTTGGGTTTGTTGGAATGCGGAACGAAACAAACTTATTCCACGTGTTCTGAGTGTCTCTTAGTAAAATTATTTCTCTTTCGATGTTGTTTAATCACAAGCGTGACTTCGTGCATCACATTAAATGTCGTCTATTTTTGTCGCAGTACAACAATGCTGACCGTGGATAACGATTTTTTTAGTTTTTTTTTTAAATCAATCAGTTAACCCCACTTGAGACTGCAAACTTTCCAAAGCACTCCATCATCGCCAAGTTACACCTGACCTCTCTAATACAGGCATCTCTCCAATACGGACATCTTTCTTTTACAAATAGTTTCCAATGTACATTATTTTCAAACACTCTAGATGTCCATGATATTAGAGGGTTACTTATCTTAGACCTGTTTCAAACGTCGCGTTTCTCATGTGCCGAATGCATTAGAAACAATAGATAATGAGGCATTTCAGCTGATTATCTGTTGTTTTTAATGCGTTCGGCACATGAGAAGCGTGACGTTTGAAACAGGCCTTATTGACCATTTTCAGTATCGATTGTGGGAACACTGAATATCTTTATCAGATACAAAACCTGAATATCAAACGCACATGCTCTGTCAAATATTGCAGGGTTTTCATCCTATGGCTTTTCAGTATAGTTTCATTTTGTGTTTTTAATTGTATTCAGTTGTTCTGTATTTTATAGATAATACTAAATGAACTTTTATAACTAATTCACTGGTTAATGTTTTACATTTTTGGGAAAATTTTTTAAGAGAAACATGAACGTGACTTCAATTATTTTTTTAAAGAGAGTCTTACATGCTAAAAACATACTTAACCCCATTAAGTTACATTGCCCCCTACTTTAGTATTTACTCTGTCTAACGCCAAACGATTTTACTCTGTGCCAGTCGATTTTACCGTCTTCAAAGGGAGGGCGCTGGCGTGCAATGGGTTAAAATCAATGCTATCAATGATCTTTATATACAATCTATATCATTTTAATTATGACGTGTTCTTTTTCAGCTTGACCAGGGCTTGACTTTGCGTTTCCGCTATACTTAATAAATTTCCGTCAATGCCTATTATTGGTTTCTCAAATATAATGGCGAATATTTGTCGTATGGTGTGAAAATTAATTTACTGAAAAAAACATTGTATGTATTGGTTTTTCGATTGTCCTTGATCATAGGTGAATATTAATTACTTCCGAGTTTTCTAGTATTGAAAATTATTGAACTCAATGAACCTATAATTGATTGAACATGCCATATATGGGCCAGAAAACCGATTTTAGACGAGATGTACTTATAACATTTGGCTTTGAATTTAATTCCATATTTTCACAGGTCTACAGAAGTTTATTAGGCAATTTAAGCCTATTTTGTTGTAAATATTATAAATATAGCCTTTCTACGTGATATCTGGCAGTGTAGCGGTTATTATCGTATAAACAAGGAAAATAATTTGTCGGCAATTTTTGACAAAGTGACAAAGATAATTATTCAAATTCCAATCGACGATAATCGTTGTCACGTGGTTCGTTCACCGGAAGCCCGCCCTTGCTGAGTAAATGTATAAACTAGAGGCGAAAGTGTGAAGTCACGCTTGATAATTTTTATCTTGAAATTGCGGTTTTTTGCTCTATTTTGCTGACAGATAGTAGGATATACATTTGAGATGTATTGAGGGACACTCCTTGTAGAGTTTTGAGCAGTTTCCAGCGACGATTACTGGATATTAAACCGCTTTTCGAAGGACATTTTTGGTAGCCCATCGGGCCACGCATACTACAGGATTTGTGTGAGGACATTTGACGTTTCAAACGTGTTCCGCGATGTCTCGGCAACAAAAATGGCTACTTACTATCTATGTGTCTGACTTGAATGTAGAGAAAACTTTAGAAGTTACTGGACAAACGTTTGTTGGAAATTTGATGGTCGAACTGGTCAACAGACTGGGTAAGGCCGATGTTATTATATACGGTTTATTATAACGTCTGTGTGTTATGTATGTTAATTCTTAAATTGAACTCGCGATTGTACTAGAAACAATCTAAAATTGGAAAATTGTTTCTGTTTTGTTAATGTTGACTTTCGATTTGAACCCCAACGGTCGCTTGACAAATTTGCCATTCCAAACATTTTCATGCGTGCGAAGAGATCAAATTTAGGACATTTAGGCGCGGTTATTAAAATAATTTAATAAACGAAGTGTAACACCGAACGTAAATAGAGTATTCTTGGATTCTGGGAGAAGGATATTTTTAAAATTCTGCAACATTTTGTGAACTCGTTTAGGTGTTGCAAGAGACTGGTCTGATCACGCGTTATGGTGGCCACAGCGCAAAACATGGCTCCTCCGATCGCGTGTTACGCTCGACGTTTGCGGCGTTCAAGCCGATTCAAAGCTAAGTTTCACACCAAAACACAAAAATGTACATCTCCAAATGCCCGATTTGCAGTTCGTCGACACGACCGTCGATTTTTCGAAGAAGGTTTTTCATGCTGTCACCGAAGTCTGCGCGCATTTTGGAATTCGCCACCCAGAAGAGCTGTCGATGTTGAGACCGCCCGCTCGTGAAAGGAAAGAGAAACGTACACCTCGCAAGGGCAGTAAGCGTAGAGGGTCTCAAGGCTCGGAGCATAGTAATAATTCCGATGAAATACAAACCGCTGTTAGCACAGACGGGCGACTTGCAGTTCCAGGCAAAGGCGGCAGCCTTGACGGGGGCTCGCAGCATAGCGCTTCGACTCCGGGCTCACCTAAGAGTCATGGTTCCTTCGACAGCTACGAATCAGAAAATCATATTTTGGCTTCAAGTCCAGCCGTTTCTTCTCAAGAGGTGCTGGAGACTATCTACAAAGCAAAAACTTTGCAAGAAAAAGTTGTTTTTCATGCCGGGTATGTGTTTGTATTTTGTGTTTGTTTTAATATTCAAAGTTACTGTAGTTTATGTTTATTGTACATGAAATAATTTGTAGTTGATGACCTAAATTATGATATATAACCAAAAGTATATTACAATAATACCGCGTAGACATACAGCTGGGATGTATTTTAAATTATTAATGTCATCTTTTACTTTTACAGTATAATGTTTTAGGTTTGTATATCAGACTTTATTTCGTGGGAATTTTAAAATTTTCAGAAATTCTATAATGTTGCAAATTATATAATGTTGCAAATTTACATTAAAATATTGAATACTTTTGTGACTAGCAGAATGTAACTTGGTTAAAAGAAATTTGTTTTTTAATATCTGACAGAATTTCAATTAGTAGAGCATATTATATCTTGCAGAGAGAGTACAAATTGTACAAATATAAAATTAGAATTTTTATTTGTACGTGACATCTTTGTGTCAACAAAAGATTTGTTGTTTGTTTTGATGTTATTGAATACTTTATCAACGAAAACAATTGCATTTCAATTGATGTCATTGTTGTTGTTAGTAAGTGATAAAGGATGAATAGATTTCTTTAATTGCTAAAGGCTTAGGCCTTGCCCAAGGCCAAAAATTGAGCTTTATTGTGTTTGTGAAATGAAGTACAATGCCTATTTAAAATAAGCAGTGGGGTTGCAAAATGTCAAGTGTCTGAGTATTCCGATTCACACCTCCTAACATGTTTTATGCAGCTTGCTGGACCTGTGACTGTCTTAAGTAATATCTTGCAGCTGTCCATCTGGTCAAACCAGCTTAAACATTGATGACTTTAGTACAGTGCACTTTATGCTCTTGACCATTTTAGAACACCAGCATTGCCCAGCAAAGCATATGTACATTTTATGATGTATGGTGGCATATGCACCATATATATAAATTAGGCTTGAGATGAATGATTGCGTAAGTTCAAATCTTTCATTGCTTTAGATGGCTTGATTCTTCAAGATCACTTATGGAGCAGGTACAGTAGTTGAAATAATCTCAACCGGTCTGTGCAAGTGTAGGTAGTGACAGTTGCGGATTGAGCGAGATACAACTACCTGAAAAATACAAGCAGAACTTCAATGTTTTGAGCGAAGGCTCTTTGTTTGGGAAGTCGATTAGGGTTACTAGGGGACCTTTGCTCAAAACGTTGAATTTCTGCTTGTATTTTTTTCAAGTAGCTGTATCTATCTCAATCTGCAACTCACAGTAAATGAAAACTTTATTTGATGAGAGTAAACATACTTCATGTATAGTTTAGGGAACTATGTGTGGTACAACAGCAATAGTGCATCTTCTCACACCGCTGGGAGCTGCTGCAGTGTCAGCCGCTATGCACAGTACAACAGCAATAGTGCATCTTTTTAGCTTGACAGTTGACATTAGGGATTACAATAAAAGGAGACATTGGAGGACATCACATGAAATAGCTTCATGAGTTAAGGAATAAGGATTATAATTTTTAAATAATTTTTCTGTATATTTTAGGATGTTGAAGAAGATGAACACTTGATGTTGAGATTCAAATATTATTCATTCTTTGACCTCAAGCCTGCAGTAAGTTGTCTTTCTGAAAGTATTATATTTAAGACCTAACGCAACTGTAGGTTTAATCTCGAACAGTTAGTGACAGTGTAGGTAGAGACAATAACAGAAAACATCCATGTTTCAAGCGAAGGTTGTTTGTTGGGAACTGATGAAGAGCCTTCACTTATCGGAGTTTTGCTTATATTCTTCAGGTAGTTGTATATCCTTTAAACTGCAGCTTTCAACTATATTGGTTGAACATACAATTCCAGTGCAATGCTCTGATCAATGAGTAACAGTGTCCAGTTGCCAAGAGTTTGTTTATTCTGACATATTTATGTCCTAACCAAGAGCAGTTATGAAAAATGACATTGGTGTAGGATGTATTTCATCTGTAGCATTTCATTATTGCATTATGTTAAACAAGATGCAGGAAATATAGAATAATTTTCTTTGCTAAGGTTGATGAAGTGAGAATTAATCAAATCTTTGAGCAAGCCAAGTGGTCAGTTCAAGCCGAAGAAGTTGATTGTACTGAACAAGAAGTTATGACATTTGCTGCTTTGCAGGTTGGTGCATTTATCTCACATGGGTTCTGCCTAGAACCATGTAAGGGTGGGGGCCTAGGGGTGCACCGGAACTCGGTTCTTAAAAAACTGGTTCCGGTGCACCCCTAGGTGGGGCATTATTGTTTTCACCACTTTTATCTTTGAGTCGTGAAAACAATAAATATTGTTTTTAACATGAGAAGATAAAAGTCATATCTTCAAGCCACAGTGTAATGTTCTGTTTATTATATACAGAACATGTAGTCCCAAGCAAAAAATTGTGAAATTTCACACCCAAAAGCAAATTGGAAAATGTCACATGATCGATATCTTCACTAGTGAAGATATGTAAAATATCTCACTGTGTATTTTTCAGTATCTCACTCTCTACTATATAATAAACTATAAAATGATGACTTTGTTGTCTTATATGTTTGCATAGTTTCAAGTGAAGATTGCATCTTCAGCTCCTCCAGTGGAAGAGGAAAGTAAACCAGAACAGGATGACGATATTGCAAGTGCATTGAATGATTTACAGGTGAGAATACCAAAGTTAACTTGCTAGAACATCAGATTTCGTGCCCCAAAATTCAAAAGCAATTTCCTCTCAGAATGTTGAAAACCATATCGAGCTCAGAAAACAGGAAATTGCCTTTCTGAGACAAATATTTGGGAGAGGGTTCCTTTCGTGCTAAAACAATTACTGACTGGTGTGTATATAATCTGCAGATACAACGCTGATAAAACATCATTGTATAGAATCCAAACAAGTCTTGAGTTAATCAGATTGACATTTTTCACTTTAGTTAACATTGGAAGGAACAACTACTCCTGCATCTCAAAAGGTAATTTTATTTATACACAGGTAACATGTACAATGTTTTAACATATGTTTCTCTTCCATTTTATTGAGCATAACATTCAAAGTATATTTATATAATGTTCTTTTTTGTTCAATAGACATTGAACCAGATGCCTGAGTTGAGTGACTGGCTGACACTTATAAAGTAAGTTTTAAAAATTACTGACTGTTTCAATCCCCTAGGAAACGTTTTTATAATATTTTTCTTTTTGCATCAGACACAAAATGCTGGGAATGAAGGACAAGAAGAAGTTTTGGTGTGTTTTCAGAGGTAGGAGTTAACTTCTAAAATCTACTAAAACTAAATGTTGCTGGTCTCCCCATTTCCCAGTGCTTCCCACCAGTGACAGACACTGTAGCTGAAATCTTAGTTCTTTAAACTTGTTTGCCTTAAATTTAATGCAATACATAGCTTAATTTATAGCCTACCAGTGCTTTCGTGGTTGAAAAATTTTCAGCTATCATTCAAATCAAAGGCTTCCAGAAATTATTGGGCAGGGGGGTGGACAGTTGCTCCCCTCGCCCCTAGTATCCGCTACTGTTTCCCATCATCCAAAACATGAGGTAATATTGGTGATTTGCTAATATCTGCCATTCCTTTTACAGACACATATTTCTCTTACTACAAATCCAACGAGGCTGCTTTGGGTGCTCCTATACAGAGAATTGACTTGCGAGGTAAATTTAAATTCTTAGTATCATACGATTTAAATTATTAGTATCATATATATGAAGGTTCTAATAGACAATCATAACTTAGATTTTGAATAGTATAGCATATAGCTTTACTTTAAATTGCATCAATTGTAATTGTATGCTGAAAAGCCCTTTGGGGAACATACAAAGTTTTGAATAATAATAATAATAATACTGACTTGAAACAACTGATTTCAGCCGAAGGCAGATAAAAAATAGTGTTGTCTTTCTGTTTATGTATAGGCAGTGAAGTTTATCCTGAAGTCAACGTTCAAAAAGAGAAATTCGTTGTTAAACTAAAGTTCCCAGAAAACGACGAAATAAGTGACCTGGAAGTTGGATTGTCCAGTGTAAGCAAAGTTTTATTGTATCTCGTCAATAGCCCGATTCAGACTGTAGAGGTGGATAATCTGTCAAACAAATATAATCGTCTGTTTAACATTTGAAGTACAATCCTGGACAAAACATATGTGACACTTTAAGCTTTTACTCACTTTTCTAGCATCATCGCAAAACCTTCCCCCTCCCACCACCATTCAATCTTGATTGCTGACCCACAACATATTCAAAGTGATGGTGATATGTTCAACATTGTATTGGGGGGGGGACATTACATTAAGAAATATCGCAGTTATTATAGTGAGCAACGGGCACGAGCAAGATTTTAATCGAGTGTCGCAGATAGTTTTGTCCAGAATTGTAGCTAGAATATCGCAATCTATACTGGATATGGCCCTGGGGAAGAAAGCATGCTTCATGTTTTTTCGATAATTCGCCTATTCTTTTTTTGCAATGACGTAATTTTGGGATTTCAGTTGACAGGCAGGTATATATCTTAGAGACAGTTTAAGACTAAAAAGATGAATTACCGTACAGTTTTTCTTGCTACGACCATTCTGATAGGAGAAAAATCGTCCACAAGTTGTTTGATTGTCCGTCATTTGGGTGAAAAGTCACGTGATTGCAAACAAAGAATTGGCGTATTTGTACACAGAGAAGAATCATGATTACTACTAGCAATGGTTGTGGAACAAACCATCCTTGATATTTTCCTAATAGTTCATATAATGCCGTAAACACAAGACACTATCGAATGCAACAGTTCTGAGAAGGAGTCATTCAAAATAATTTCTTGAACGTTCCTCTAGAATTGATTCGAGTATTCTTGAGTATACGAATTACAGTACTTCGCATATGGTTGATCGTGAAAAAGATCAATCTGTTTTAAAGGTTAAGACCAGACGGATTATCGACTTTTATTGCGTCGTTTATAGACCGACAAGATGGATTATCAAAGAAACTAGATTTTCTTTGATGAACTTCATCCACTAATCCAGACAGATCACCCGTCTCTTGTGTAAATCTGGCCAACGAATATTTCGGTAAAGTTTGGTTGTAGATTTAATGTAGTACCACTGACCTCACATATTTCTTTAGGAAGGGCAATACTCCAAGTGGATGGCAGCCTTCCGTTTGGCCTCCAAAGGTAAAACTATGGCGGACAGTTCCTATGAATCCGAAGTCCATGGCATTGAAGCATTCTTGTCGATGCAACGGAACAAAGATAATTTCAAGAACACAACAGCACCAGGAGGAGTAAGTAGACGTTTACATTGCTACGCATGCCTGCGTGATATACCGTTTCATCTTTGTCAGTGCCAGTTGCATCGCTGCCAGGAAATTTTTAACAAGCTATCTTTGCAGGAAATTTTTGTCATCTTATATTAAAGGAATACCGAATGGTTTTCCGTACAGGATTGCGTGATCCGTGCACGAGGGATGTCGCGAGACTTTTGGAAAGCGTAAAAAAAAAGCATGGATCACGCTATCCTGCTTGGGAAAACCATTTGGTAATTGTTTTATAAAATAACTACAGTGAAACAATGACATTTTGAGAATCCCGCGAAGGCATTTTAATCGTGCAGGATAGTCTGATCCTGCACGGCTATTGACCAATCAAATTGCGTGTTTCACTGTAGTTATTATATATACTGGAATGCTGTATAATTTACTAACAGCATTTTGCAAGTCGAGTTTGCACCATGCTCCGATGACCTTCAGTTGAGTGTTGGCTCGGAAATAAGTCTGAATGACACAAATGAATAAACGGTAAATGTTGTAAAGATATTAAATAATTTGTTTCTTTCATACTTATTTCCAAGCCAAAATTAACTTGCTTGCCAGAACAGCAGTATTAAAAAGCTACAGTTTGGTCGGACACCAATACACTCGGGTCGGACAAACAATAAACCTCAGTTTCACTTAGATCGAACAGAATGTCCGGTGATTCCCTCTCTACGTCGGACAATTTTACGAATGGGTCGGACAATGTCCGTGACCGACCGATATTTTAAGGCCTGCATACAGTCTCACAAATCTACACATACAGGAAGTTTTACATTTGACTTGCACATGCATGCACGGAACTTTTTGGATTTTGCTGCCAGGAAGGGAAATATATTTTCTAGGTCTGAGTGGTGTTCAAATAATTCACAATTTATAAATATGTGAAAAACTAATAATGTGAAGCTAGTTTTTCATTTCTCAATAAATCTTTCTACTTGTAGGTTCAAATCCAACCTGAAGATTTTGTTCCCGGTCGAGTAATGAAGAAATACAAAACAAAACAGGTAGGTTTACTGGTTTAATTGGTATACAGTAGGTGGACACTACGGATTGGTGAAAGAGCGCCGTACATGCAAGGGCGGATTGCCGGATTTTCATTTATTTAAAAGGAGGGGTAGAGAAATTTCTGGTGGGGTGCAAGCGGCACCACCCAGTGAGCTTCGGCAGGGGTTAGACGTTTGGGTTAAAGCCTTTCACACAAAATAGGAAGGGTGAAGCGAAATTTTGGTGGGGTTGAACACTTTATTAGAGGGGTTAGAGAGAGTCAAGGGGGGGGGTTAACCCCCCTAACCCCCTCCCCCCAGTAAATCCGCCCATGCTAGTGCTGTGCAAACTCTGGTTTTTCATCTCCGGCTCCGGCTCCGGCCGAATTACAGCTCTGAGCTCCGGCCACATCATAAAATATTAAATAAATGTTTTACGATCAGAGAACATTTATTAATATTATTATGAATAACCCTTTTCGCGCTTCCTAATTATCAGATAACATAACTCAGGAAACAAAACAGTGAAAACACTTAACCACGCAGAAAATATCTATGTGGAAACCAGCCTCGAAAAATCTTTGACACGAGGCATGACGCGAGGCATGACGCTAACACTCTCAGACTCCACAGCGCAATTGTTCGCACGCAAACAAAGTACTCTGTCATTTTCAAAAGGTTGATATTTATTTGTTTTGTACTTTTTCGTTATCTACAAGGCATGAATACACAGACTACAGTATGTAGGGCTAAGTCAGATGGCTTCATGAAATCATGACGTTTGTAAGTTGCGATCGTATTACAGCTTTTCGACGCTGTTCCTGTGGGCTGTGGCAGTTTAAGTCTATGATGAATTCATTAACAGCAATTGGCAGTTTGCAGTAACTAACAATCGTTTGACATTTGTCTCATTTCATATTATTTTCTTGTCATTTTGCCGGAGCTGGGAAAACGTAACTCCGGCTCCGGGCTCCGGCATACAAAATTCGGCTCCGGCGTTGGAAAAACCGCCGGAGCTCCGGCAGAACTCCGGCAACTCCGGCGCACAGCACTAGCCCATGCGAAAGTGAAAAAGGTACCTACATATGAAAGTTCTACTTTTATTCACCAGGTTGCTGCGAGGATTTTGGAAGCTCACTCTTCACTCAATCTCATGACGGTAATGGAAGCGAAGATGAACTACATAAGAAAGTGGCAAGAGCTGCCTGACTTTGGAATTACACATTATGGCGTCCGATTCCGAGGAGAGAAAATCTCGAAGAAAGATGTAAGTCATATAGCGATGAAAGATAGAGACAAAGTTTTGGGAAGTAAAGTCTATAAACAACGTGGAATAGATAGTTCTAAAGTAATACCTTCATTAGAGGAGGCGACGTTTGTGGGGTGTTCGTAGCAATCTTCAGTGCGTTTCCCATTCACCTTAATGAACGAAGCTCTCGAATGTTGTAGTATATGCGGTTGTCTGATGGTTGTCTGATGGATGCTTCCACTTGACCTCTAGGGAGAACCGTTTTGATAGAACTAATATAGAGCTATCCAGTTGAAATGAAGTTATTTAGGGTTACTCCTATAGTACACTGTACCAGAAGGCAATAAATAGCCATTGCGAATGTGCGATCCTTGAGAGAACAATTCAGAACTGATCGAATTATCCAGTATTAATAAGCTAGGTTAGCTTAGGTTTCCTCCTGGGGTCAGATAGCGTTATCTACCACAGATAGTGATTTTTTCAACCGTTATAAAAATGCTTAAATAGCTATTAAAGTGCGGATATGGACTAAATAATTAATAAAGTGACTTCAAATTATACATATATTAAAGTTTAATCTAGGTTATATCAATCAACGGAGAATTTCAGAAAGCTGGAAAAATCACTATCCAGTGGATAGATCAATAAAATAGTAGATCAGTAAAATAATAGATCAATAAGGGTGGCTCTTTACTGAGCCTCAGGGAGAAAAGTAAATAAGGTTAGTTAAGTTTGTATCTGTAATAACAGTGGACAAATAAGCAATGTCCCTCTCTCGAGTTTTTGGGAGAACTACAGTAACAGAGCTATTTACACAATTTTTCATCTTCAATATTTTAGGAGATCTTGGGTATTGTGGACAATAAGATCACAAAGATCGATGCTGCAAGCGGCAAAATATTAAACAGCTGGAGATACAGTGTTATGAGATCTTGGAATGTCAACTGGGAGACCAAAGAAATGGTCATCGACTGTGAAGGCGAGAGGATCAGGTTCATATGCACCAGCTCTGATATCAAAAGTATTCACGAATTTATCGGTGGATATATATTCTTGTCCATGCGTAAGGATGTTAACCAGCCCGTAGATCATGAGTTGTTCTTTAAGCTCACTGGTGGCTCTGTTCAATGAGAGACGATACTGTGACAGTCAGATTTTTAAGACTGGTTAGTATAGGTTATAGCGTTAACTTTCTCATAAATGGTGGTTAATGTCATAATGTGCATCATGTCATGAAAACATTAGTTTCTGTTTGGGTAAATCGGTGGTTTTCACTAAACGTTACATTGAACATTTCAAATGGATATTTCGGATGCATTTTGTACCGCGGATTTTCGTGTATATGTTAAATTAAAAACGATTGTTTTGCATACCAATAAAAGCTGGAACATTCTTGCGAACATATTTGAAAATTGCGATATTTACTCAAATGTTTCCCCCACCTTTGGAGACATTATTTGCGAAAGCAAAATTTGCTTCCCAAGGAGCAAAAATCCGTCGAGCGAATTCAGAAACATGTCCTGTTTCCCAAGTGTGAATTTTGTTAGGGAAATAGTATTTCAAGGTTTGCCCACCTTTGGGAAACATAGCTGGGAAACAATATTTTTGTAACAATACATTGCAGAATGCTACACTGTCTTTTGCAACGTTTTTTAGTTCAACGTTTTTAGACCACCATTTTTGAGAAAGAAGCATGTAGGAAAAGTAGCAAATTAGAATTGTTTATTTTTAATTAGGATTGTATTGTGTTGTCGTGTATATATTATATGAACCGCGATACCTCATGAAGGTTCAGCGCGAAATTTATCCTCCAATGACAAAAGATCTGTTCAAATACGTTAGGTCTTCAAAACTATATTATTTCAAATTATGGTGCATAAAATTAAGTCTAAGAATGCTTCTCTAAATTACACTTGTAACCGTTTCATGTTACTTTGGTATAGCCTGCTTATATGATAATAAAATTGGAGAAACTCTATCAGTTTTTAATTGTCGATGAATCCATTTCTTTGTGCAGTTTTTATGTGCGGTTATCAAAGATATTCTGATACCGTCGTTTAAAACAATGTTCTGAGTTCACGGTTTTGTGAAAAAATAGTGCGTTCCATAGTCATGTTCCTGTAACACCGGACTGTCCCATTGTCTTTTCATTATTTTGAAAATTACAATATCTCCATGCCATATTCATTGTTTTGAATTATTTTGTCATTTATGCAAAGACCTATTGAAAACTTCAAGTATCGTTACAAAATACCACAAAATACGTTTTCAATTACGTTTTCTGGCATTGTTCATCGTTCATTCAAAAACGACAACGACAGTAATGAATAAATTATCTCGTGAATGTCCCGCGTGGCTTTCCACGTTTCTGACCTGTGGTCGTGACAACGACAACAAAGCGTTATCAGTCAAAAACAATGGAATAGCGCTCAATGGGACTGAAAAACAATCTTTTTGTGAATGATTTTAATACATTCTCGCTATAACAAAGGCCGTATACTAAAGAGCGAGGCTTGGGCCGTCTCGGGAAAGCGCTGAACTGCTAACCATGAGCGATAGAACCGCGCCAAAATCACAACTTCGTTTGGAATGGGTGTACGGTTACAGAGGGCATCAGTGTCGGAATAACTTATATTTTACATCATCGAAAGAAGTCGTTTATTTCGTCGCTGGCGTAGGGGTTGTTTACAACGTGAAAGGCAACTCTCAGCGGTTCTTTCTTGGACATAATGATGATATAATCAGGTAGGTTATGTTGTTTTGGGACTGATATAAAACACGATCATTTGAGCACATTATGTAGCTATACATTTTTTACAAACATGCTGATCTATATGTTTCCAAATCTCATGGATGTCTACTGACACTAATAAAGCTATCTTAGGCTTGCAAAATGGCTTATTTGCTCAATGTCTATATCATATAAATTTAGCGGCACACCCCTGTTAAAAAAATGCACACATGTGTTTACATAGGTCGTACAATTCCATTCAACCGTTTGTGAATTGCTCAGATTACTGAGAGTGTAAATGCTTGTTTCAAACACAGTTTATAGAACAAAATTTGCGTGCCAAACAATTCTGCAAGAATATTTTTGAAATATGTTTGCAAGGTTTGTGAGTATTAAAGTGTCATTTTGGTTAATAATTAATGGATGAGAATGATTAGATGGGGAGACAGCATATCTGATACCTTAATGAAGTTCAGCAGAGATTGATTTCAAGATTGTTAATCATTAGTCTACCCCACTCAATGCTGGGTTTTAGTCATTGGTGTAAACAGTATTAAGCCTAGTTCTCATTCATCGCAAACCGTCGGCGATGGGAGCTTTGCGACGTCGGCGACCGCTTGCGATTTATGAGAACACATCAAAAATTATATCGCCGATTTTCCATGATCGTCGCCGACCATCGGCGATGACATCGCAGGAAACAAAAAAGTTTGTTTCTTGCGACCATCGCCGCGACTGCCACCTGCTTGAAAAATCTATGAAAAATGAGTAAAAGTTGTTTTTTCCTCAACAAGCAAGGAAATAACTGAAGTTTGACATAAATCATGATCTTTACGTTGAACGGGGCCATTTTGTGCCTTGGTGGGAAATTTCGAAACACATCGGCTGTCATCTGCGACGTTCACCGATGTATGAGAACTTTCGTACATTCGCGATCGGCGAGCATCGGCAATAAGCGTCGCCGATCGTCGGTGACAGTTTGCGATGAATGAGAACTAGGCTTTACTGAATACCTTGAATTTTGTCAGGTGCATTCATCTTGTGTGGAACATACTAAAATAGTGCATTACACATGTAAAAACGTGGAAATTATTACACATCTGCATACAAGTTGTAACAAGGTTGTTGTCGAGCCAATATCAGGATATGCAGCTTGTTTCTAGAATCCTAGTTGACAAGTTTGGAACAAGTTGTCTGTAACAGACTTGTTACAAGTTGTTCCAACAAGATTAATACAATCATATAATAGTTTTGTTTGTGGAAACACCACAAATTTATTACTGCACAGCTTCATACAGGCTGTTTGTAATAAGTTCCATGAGCTTGTTGACATCAACATGTTAACAACTTGTTTATACATGCAGACGATATGCTGGAACAACTTTTTGAGAGAGTGCTGTGCTCAGCAACTTTTTTACAAGATGATAAAGCTACAGTAGTTCCAGACTTTTCAACAACCTAGAACAAGCAGTTAACCCATCTTGTTTGCCATCTGTGAGATTTTTAAGCATGTAGTCGGAACATTAAGCCATTAAGCTGCAGAGCATCCCCATTGACAAGTAAAATTGTCTGGAGAGTGCTAGCGCTTATTGGGTTAACAGGACTATCTGTCCATGTGTCTAGTTAACCCATTGAGTCACATTGTACCCTGGTGCGCCCTACTTTATTATTTTGTCTGTCTAACACCAGATGATTTTACTCGTCAATGGGAGAGCGCTGCCACTTAATGGGTTAAGTAAAGTTGCATTGCACCCTAATGCAACCTACTTGATTATTGGGTCATTCCAGAAAACATCCATACCACCCCCACGGAGGAAATAGGAAGTTAACCTCCCTACCCCCTTCGGATGTCCTAATACATTTACTATTATCAGAAACAATTTTTCTCCCCTCCCCCTCCAGACGGCAGAAATTTCCTCTGTGGGGGGAGTATGGATCTTTTCTGGAATGACCCATTTTAACGCCAGATGATTTTACTTGTTAAGGGGAGCTCAAAGGTGCTTGCTGGTGCTCAAAGGCTTAATAGATTTGGAATACTGTAGGTAATAAATAATAGGTAATAAATAATCTTATATCTTTGTCAAAGCCTTGCTTTGCATCCAGAGAAACAATTGGTTGCGACAGGGCAGGTTGGAAAAGATCCATATATCTGTGTTTGGGACGCAAAGAATTGTCAAACAGTTTCCATTTTGAAAGATGGTCATCAACGAGGGATTGCGAGTTTGGCATTTAACAATGCTGGGACGGTGAGTTAATTTTATAAAAACTTGAGGAAAATTTTTAGTTACAGTCAATTTTGCATTACCTGTACTTTTCCCTAAATGTTGTGAACTTTGTTCCCAACCTCATTGCAAAGTTCAAAAGTTCATATTATATTGAAATTCACAAGCTGGATTGTAAACAAAGCCTCTGATTGTCCCCTGAACTAAAAGAAGCCACAATCAAATTATGCATTGTTTACAAATTAATTTTATATATAGCATTTAGCATCTGTTGGTTTGGAAGACTATCATCTCATCTGCATTTGGGACTGGAAGAAAGGAAGATTGTTGGCATCTGCAAAAGGTCATTCTGATAGGGTACAGTACCTTTGAATGTTTTCTTAATTGCTTGATAATTATGATACAAACTTTGATCTGGCAGTCATGAATGGAAATATCTCGATAATGTTGAAATGTTGCCAACAACTCTAACTAATGTTGCTACTGAAGGAAACTAAAGCCCTGGGCAAACTAGGAAACATTGTTGCGGAAACATTGTCAATGTTTTGCCATGTTTCCCAACGTGGGCAAACACTAGGAAACAATGTTTCTGCAACAAAATCGCACGTGGGAAACATGAAATGTTTCTGAATTTGTTAGGAAACATATCTGCTTCTCTGGAAGCAAATTGTGTTTCTGCAACGATGTTTCCACAGGTGGGCAAACACAGAAACACTTGAGAAAACATAGCCTCCTCCGCAGGCAACTCTGTTATTTCTGTCACATCAGTATCACAATTCACAAAGCTCAGTGATCAGTACGGTTCCCCTGTGTAGTGTATGGGCGGGCGGGTTACAGGGAACCCATACTGGGACATACAGAGTTGCCTGCGGAGGAGGCTAGAGAAAACATGGCGAATCATCATGTTTCCGCAACAAATTGTTTCCTAGTCTGCCCAAGGCTTAAAGTACCCTGAGAAAACTTGCAAGGTCGGCACATTTGACACACTCTAGCTCTCACAACAACTGAGGTAAATGATAATCAGACAACTGCATATTGCAGCAGGGAAACTTTCAGGACTTCAGACACATTCACATACATGTTTCACTCGCTACTCTGGTTTAAATGAATGATTACAAAGCCAAGTCGAATTGTAATCAAGACCCAACGTTTTGACACTCCAGTCTAGTGTCTTCATCAGGGGAGTCGTGATCGAAAGTTGCAATGGTGGCTTCTTAAATACCTAATAATGAGTCTGCGTGATTCCTGTTTACTGTAGTTCATGGGTGGATTTACTGGGGGGTTAGGGGGGTTAACATGCCCCCCCCCCCACTAGGTCTCTAATCTCTCTTAAAAAAGTGTTCAACGCCAACCCCATCAAAATTTCACTCCCCCCCTCCTATTTTGTGTTATTAAAAGTATTTGACTCTAACGCCTAACCTCTGCCAAAGCTTGCTCAGAGGTGCCGTTTGCACCCACTAGAAGTTTTTCCTCCCCTCCTTTTTAAAAAATGAAAATCCGCCCTTGCTGTAGTTAAGATCCAAGTGTAAATTAAGTAAAACCTTTTTATAGATTTTTGACCTTCATTTTAACCCCAATGTGGACAACCAGTTAGTGTGTTGCGGAGTGAAACACATCAAGTTTTGGAAATGGCAAGGAAACTCGCTAAACCCACAAAAAGGTAACTAAATGGGCTTGTTATTAAGAGAGATGTTTTCACGAAAATAGCAAAAAGTCAACATGTGTAACGTTGCCCATTCTTTGAGATCCTATAAAATCACTATACTGTAATTGTATTAACAACTTTGACATTGAGTGTGTGATATAAACAAGCCAGTTTTTAAAGAAAAAGACAACGTGAAAGTTCAGTCAAATTATGAAGTACACACATTTTGTTCAATATATTTTTTGCATTTAATTAATTATTATTTTTTTAAGAACGAATTTAAAGAAAATATTACAACAGAATATTTTTTTTAAAGTTCAAGAATAAGTCAAAGCTCATTTTTTATTTCAATAATCCACTAGGTATATTTGGCAAAGGCGGAGAAATTCAGACAATGTTATGTCTTGCATTTGGCACCAATGGTACTACATATGCGGGGACGTTAAGTGGAGATATTTATAAATGGGAGAAAAATAGCTTGACTGGAACTGTTCAAGGACATGAGGTATTTCTTGCATATATTTAAGACATTAAGCAGAAACCTCTTTAACTATTTTCTTTCCATGTCCCTACAGTATACTCATTTGACAAAACTTCAAATGTTGTATCCAATACAAGCTTTCGTTGGTAGGAATGTAACTATACCTGAAACATATAAGGAGAATTTCGACGTTTCAAGTGAAGGCCCTTTGTCTGGAGTTATGAAAGCTTGTTCATATTATAGCCACTATACCTACATTGGCACAGACAGTTCAAGATTATACCCAATACATCCTTCCAGAAAGTGTTCAGCCTTGGCCATACAGGCTTTTAATTTTGCGTGATTGAGATATTGTTGCAGATGACACATTTACAAAACCATACAGTTAGAATAGATAATCCAAAATACCTTAAAATATAATTATGTCATCAGTAACAAGATAAAGGGCTCCAAAGCCGAGATCTCAATCACGAAAACGAGGCTCTATAGCCAAGACTGAGTACTTTCAGGAAGGGTGTATTGTGCATATTTAATCATGTTGGTTATCGCCGTTTTTTAGAACGCTAACCTATTTCGGTACTTTCAGGATCAGTGCTTTCAGTTTTGGTAGGTTATGAGCTTAACTCGCTGTTTCCTTTAGGGAGCTGTATTTACCATTTATAAATCTGAAGATGGTTTTGCCAGTGGTTCCAAAGATGGAAGTGTCATTCTTTGGGATGGTGATTTTAAACCTATTACGAAAATTGATCTGCTCAACAGCGTCATTGGTTACAAAGGTGACGATATCTATGGTTATCTGCCTCTAACCAGTAATAAATCAAGTCAATACGAGTTTATAACAATGGAAAACAGACAGTGTTCGTATTGAGTAGTTTAATGCAACTTAAGTTTATCTTTTAACCATTTTTTATTATAACCAGGCTTGTCAGTACGTAGCGTCTGCTGGGTGGCAGATAAAATTCTCGTTGGTACAAACAACAGTGAAATATACGAAGTCCTCGCTTCAAACAAAGAATCGCCAAGAACCTTAGTTCAGGTATTACCAATTATTTTTCACTCATTCTTCTCTAAGCACTGACAGCCAGCTTGCAGGCTTTTAGCCAGAAGGGCGTCCAGGTGTCCTGGGACGCCCATAGAACAAAAAATGGACGTCTTTGGACACCCAAATTCTGGGGGGAAAGGGAAATTATTTTCAGTTATTTCCCTAAGTATATTTATATATCTGAAACGAAATAGCTTCAATTCTCATTATTATTTTATTATACATTTGACATTTTGATCAATTTGATGGTGTACCTGGCTGAATGAAAATGTCGTAGATAAGTAAAGAAGCATAGCGGCACAAACTCACAAAGCCAAGTGTGTCCGAAAAATTTCGAACGAGCTTGGAACAGATACTGATATGAAGTAACGTAAACTTCAAAGGTTTTCCAGAGGAACGTTTTCTCGACACCCCCTTACTGTAGATGTATCGTTGTACCAAAATTGGACGCCCTCTTTTAGGAACCTGGCTAAAAGCCTGCCAGCTTGTATTAGCAACTAAGCTAAACGAACATGAACTGTGTAATTAACTGTGTTATACTGCATGCATGGTAGCTCTATCAGTCCAAAATTGTACTCCCCAGAGGTCCTGTACGAGCCATCCCTTAATGACACAGTGGTACTACAGGAGGAAATCCAAGTACCTAGAGAAAACCTGTGGTGTTTGGTAGAGTCAAACTGGAAGTACTCTTCTCAGAAAGCGAGCACATATTCCCTATCTACTAAATTAAAGTAGAAGTCGTTTCGCGAATAAGAGTTTATCTTCGCATGCAAATAAAATTCCTTTGAGAATTTTCGATGCACTTGTATTTATGTACATGTAGAATTGCTTCATTCTTTTATATTGAAAAATAAAAAAATATTAAAAATTGAAAGAAAAAATATGCCGTTTGAGTTAAAAGAGTGTACATACTGTATATAATATCAATTTCAGGGTCATGCCGAAGGTGAGTTATGGGCGCTTGCTGTTCATCCCAAGAAAGCCATGTTTGCGACAGGCAGTGATGACCAAAGCATACGGTATTGTACTTTTTGTGTGTTGTCCCATTTCCACTGCATCAACTGTGGTCTCAGACTTAGTTTAGGCCAAATTTATAGCGCAATTATGTTTTCCTTGTTTTCAGATTATGGAGTCTCTCAGACAGAACGTTGTTGGCTAGAGTTGATTTGGAACAAAAGATTCGTTCGCTTGCGTTTCACCCTGATGGCAGCCAGTTAGCTGCCGGGCTGTCTGACGGTTCCTTTATGGTTCTTAAAGCAAGGTAAAGTTAGTGTTGCCATTCCTTGGATCTTAACCATGTACTGTACCTGAAAAATTAAGTTATCTTCCCACTCTTCGACTGTGTCGTCGACATTTCGAGGGAAACCTCTTTGTTTGGGAGTTTGTAAGCAGTTGATAACCACCTGACGAAGTGCCTTTTTTCGAAAATACAAAGTAAACTAAACTAACTTGGGTGGTTGTGGTGTTGAACTCCGGTGATAGAATTTTTGCTGATGTTACTCAGGGTGCGATAATTCATGATTTTTAGTCGTTCCTGACTGGTACAACCAATGGTTGTTGCCGCGTACTTGCGCTAGTACAAACTCAGTACTCAATGTGTATTTAGTCTTTAAATAAGGTTCATAAGGTACAGGTTTCTGAAAAGTATATGTTCAGACCACGAGGTAGAAAAAGAAGCACAATTGCATATACAAACAAGCGACTCCAACGTTTCTTAGTGCTATCAGTCCAATCATGTTTCATGCCAAGACATCTCAGACACATGATATATCAACTAAATTATGGTATTGAATACCTTGGACTTGCAAAGGTCATATCATGGTACCAGCAAAAAGTAAGTACGCGGATAGCAACAAGTTCCACGTACCTCCGTGGTTGGAAACAAAGAAATACCAGACCGTAATATTGGCGTTCCTCCGGTTCGTATATATAAGTACGCGAATTATCGCACCCTGTGTTACTCTGAGTGTCCGCACACCGGGCAAGCTGGAAAATTGCTTGGCTGCGGTGGGAATTAGTTGGTAAGAGCGCTGGACTAGTAACCCAAAGGTCGCGGGTTCGATTCCCACCGCGGTCAAGCAATTTTTCAGCTTGCACGGTGTGGACACACTCAGAGTAACATCAGCAAAAAAAATAAACTAACTTTGTTTAAACTGGATTGCTCTAGCTATATCGGTTTCTGATCTACTGTTCTTCACATCTTGTGGTGTAGCAAGTCTGCCAACAAGCCGTCAACAAGTTGTGTTCGCACTGCTTCTCCCAAGTTGTCAACAAGTTTGGAACAAGCTGTTAACAACTTGTAACAATCATGTTGATATTATCAGACTTGTTGCAAGGTTGTTCCAACACGTCTGATACAGTCGTGATTTAACAATATTGTTACAACCTTGTGTCGTCAACCTTGTATACATTCTTGTCATATCATGACTGTATCAGACTTGTTAGAACGACCTGTTACAACAAGTCTGATAATGCCATCAAGCTTGTTACAAGTTGTTAACATAACAGCTTGTTCCAAACATGTTACAACAACTAGGAACAAGCAGTGCGAACACAACTTGCAGACCTGTAATAACTTGTGCGTTTTTACGCGTATAGGTAGGAAGTTTGGTAGAATCAAACTACACGACAGAACGAGGGCTGTTGTTTTGCCTGCATATTTCAAATCCTGCCCTCTGATTTTAGGGATCTTTCGGAAGTCCTTCACACCAAAGATCGTTCGGAAGTCATTCACGAACTGAAATACTCGCCAGACGGCGCATATTTGGCCGTTGGGTCGAACGACAATTTTGTCGATATTTACGCGACTTCTCAGCGATACAAGAAAGTCGGAGAGTGTAAAGGTAGTTCCAGTTTTATCACGCATTTGGATTGGTCGGACGACAGCAAATATATACAAACAAATTCAGGCGCTGCTGAGAGATTGTTCTACAAAATTCCAGGTAAAATGTTTAAAGGGGAATCGCAGGCAATCACAGGCATATAAAATACGTACCATACCATGGATGCAACTCCGTACCATACAGTACCATATTATATATTATGCTATACCACAAATACCATAACATGCCGATACCATAACATACCACACCATGCCATACCATATCGTACCATGCAGTACCATGTAATACCATACCATGCAGTACCATGTAATACCATACCATGCAGTACCATGTAATACCATACCATGCAGTACCATGTCATACCATACCATGCAGTACCATGTCATACCGTACCATGCAGTACCATGTCATACCGTACCATGCAGTACCATGTCATACCATACCATGCAGTACCATGTAATACCATACCATGCAGTACCATGTAATACCATACCATGCAGTACCATGTCATACCATACCATGCAGTACCATGTCATACCATACCATGCAGTACCATGTAATACCATACCATGCAGTACCATGTCATACCATACCATATAGTGTCATACCATAGCATACCATACCATACGGTACCATGTCAGTATTACCATACCATGCAGTACCATGTAATATTATACCATACAGTACGATTCCATACCTACCAATTGCTTCCTAAGATCAGTATTTTTGCTTTCTAGCGGGTAAGCGGGTTACCAACAAGGAAGAAATCAAAGCCATCAGTTGGTCAACATGGACAGGAGTCCTGGGAACAGAAGTGAACGGAATTTGGGAGAAATACACAGACACGAATGACATCAACGCCACTGATACGTCATTTCCTAATAACACTCTTGTGTCAGGCGATGATTTTGGTTTAGTAAAATTGTTTCGTTTCCCTTGTATCAAGAAAGGTATGGGAATGTTTTGTATAGCAATGACTAGACCTGCCCCAAGTCCTGACGTCCTACATCAGCATATAATATTTTAAAAATTCGGATTGAGGCTGCACGAAGGCACGTCTCTCAATGCTATTTATTGAGTACAAAACACAAGTCTGCTACTGTACATATAATAAAATGAATACTCATTCTGATAACTGTCGGTTGGTCACCATTTGCTGCACAATAGTACTTGGTGAAAACCGAGTTCGCCCACGGCTGCAATGTGAAGGATATACTACTATGCAACTACCTGAAAAAATATAAACAGAACTTCGATGTTTCGAGCGAAGGTGTTACCACAGAATAAAGACACACAGAAGGTGGACTAAGCCAAAAAAGCGTAAGGATCATGAAGTCAGATTTTTAGCCGTGTATGCATGCTTTTTACATGGCAGCTGTCTCTACCCATCTAAACGTAAATAAGTTGTTACAAGTCTGTTCACAAGTTGTCAACAAGTTGTGTTCGCACTGCTTGTTCCCAGTTTGTTGTAACAAGTTTGAAACAAGCTGTTAACAACTTGTAACAAGCTTGATGGCATTATCAGCCTTGTTACAAGACTGTGCTAACAAGTTTGTTGCAGCCATGATATAACAAGGATGTTACAAGGTTGTCAAAACAATCTTGTTATATCAAACATGTAACGGACTTGTCAGAACAACCTTGCAACAAGTCTGGTAATTTCGACAAGGTTGTTACAAGTTGTCAACAAGTTGTTCCAGACCTGTTGACAACTTGTGACAAGCAGTGCGAATACATCTTGTTGACGGTTTGTTGGCAGACTTGTTACAAGATGTGAGATTTTTACGTGTGTAAAGATGTCATATTAGTACACACGTAAAAACGCACAAGTTGTAACAAACCTGCAGCAGACTTGTAGCGATGCTGTTCCAACAACTTGTCATCAGGATGTGTTCGCACTGCTTGTTCCCAGCTTGTTGACAAGTTGTCAACGCCTTGTCGACAACTTGCTGCAAGATTGTTGAGCTCAACAGACTTGTTACAAGTTGTTCCAACAACTTGTTATCGTCCTGCAATTTAACAAGTTGTAAGTGACAACCTTGTGGCAACTTGATGAAATAACAGCATTGTTACAACTTGTTGACAAGCTTGCTACAAGCCTGTTGCGAACACATCTTGTTGACAAGTTGTGAGATTTTTACGTGTGTACGTCTCTACCTACACACGTGTGCACGTCTCTACCTACACACATAAAAACGCACAAGTTTGTTACAAGTCTGTTCACAAGCTGTTAAGATGTATTCGCATTGCTTGTCACAAGTTGTCAACAGGTTTGGAACAACTTGTTGACAACTTGTAACAACCTTGTCGAAATTATCAGACTTGTTGCAAGGTTGTTCTGACAAGTCTGTGACATGCTTGATATAACAAGATTGTTACAACATTGTGTTGATAACCTTGTAACATCCTTGTCATGTCATGGCTGTAACAAACTTGTTAGCACAATCTTGTAACAAGGCTGATAATGCCATCAAGCTTGTTACAAGTTGTTAACAGCTTGTTTCTAACTTGTTACAACAAACTGGGAACAAGCAGTGCGAGCACAACTTGTTGACAGCTTGTGAACAGACGTGTAACAACTTGTTTGCAGACTTGTTACAACTTGTGCGTTTTTACGTGTGCACTTGTGCATTGTCGACCATACCTCACCACCAGCCGTGAAACTCTTTGTCAAAACGCTCAGATCTGTAAATTTTGTTAAGTTATCCAGGGATTGAGTTTGCCTTTTCATACTCTAAAAAATATAGTACAGGTTTTTTGGCATCCACGTACAAAATCATGAAAATCAACAACTCCGTGGATTTTCAACTCCACCTACCTTTCCATGTTTTTTTGACATCAGTCTAACCAAGTTCTCTTCTTCATATCTGGGATATATAAGCACTAGTTTAGCGAATATTATTTTCTCTATAAACCAAACATCCAAGTATGCGAGTGTAGTTTTACCTTCGTTGATGTTTGTCATCGTCTATTTCTTTTTCCTTTCTTCTATCAAACAATTCTCCTTCCTGTGGGAGGCAAAGAGAATCAAGACGAAATGCGATTGGCTCACGATTCATGAAAATGAGGCTCCCAGTCGAAGAACGTATTCATGACGTAATTATTGAAAAGGTGTATTACTGTGGCCCCAATAGTAATGGACCATTCCCCAATTAACCAAAATTTTGATTTCAACAAGTCTAAACCAAATTCCATCATAGCATGAAAGAGCATCACAAAATTAGTAATATTCCAAAGTTTCGTTGCGAAATGTTGTAAGATGCGGATAATATAGCCTTGTGAAGTTTGTAATTTTCAGTCATTTTGTATTACGCACAGAAGTGGTAACCATTTCCTGTTTGTAATCTAAAATGACTGAAAATTGCAAACTTCGCAAGGCTATATTATCCGCATTTTACAACATTTTGCAACGAAACTTTGGAATATTACTAATTTTGTGATGCTCTTTCAAGCTGTGATGAGAATTTTGTCTAGACTTGTTGAGTTCAAAATTTTGGTTAATTGGCGAATGGTCCATTGTATCCTTCGGAATCCGCAGTTTATATCCAAAAAAATACCTTTAATTCTTCAGGGGCTTCGGAATATTCATCTAAATTAACATTAAAGCAGTGAAGATTAATCATGATTACAAAGAAGCCGTTAATTTGATACATTTTGGATTTAGAAGAAAACATGTACCTCTAAGTTCTTTTAGAAGAGAACTGCTCAATGCTTTTCGTCTTGCTGTTTCTTCCAATTTCCTACGTCTTGATACTTTGTCTTCATCTTTTTACATAACAAACAGAACAACATTTTTACTTGTCAAGCGTGGAGCACTGGCACTCAATGGGGACAATATATGTAATCATTAGGCATCAAGCACAGTAAAATAATACAGTGGGGGTAGGGCCCATTAGGGCACAATGCAACTTAATGGTTTAAAGCAAAGTATTGAAGACTCACCATATGGCATGGCAGCAACCTTAGGTGGAACATAAATGCCTGGCTTCTTTTCTTCATCACCTCCGTCCTCTGCTTCTTCAAGCTTAAGAAAAACATTTCTTGATAAAATTTTGTCTTTCAAATATTTCTACATTAAAATGAATTAACATACAATATAACATTACAGCACCTTGCTGACCAGATTGTCTGGCCTTGGCTTAAATCTTAAAGGATCATTCTCTTGACCTGAAAGGTTTATTAATAGTTGTTGAATTGAACCATTTTGCTGGAATAAATACATTAAAATCTTACAGGATTACATTAATGACATACCTACAAGTCCTGTAGTTGCAATTTTAATCAGTTTATCAATCTGATATTTCAGTTTTTGGTCAATTGGACGTATTTTTTCCATCACCTGCACATACAAGATATAGATGCGGACTGTAGTCAATTGGTGCATTGCTATTTTTTATATATGTACTTGTAAGAGGGCTGAAACTCGTTGACATAAAAAAATATTTAGTAAGCTTTTTTATCTGGAAAATGGACATCAGCAACTAAGAATTTGAATTTAATGCTTACCGTGCGTAATTCTACTAGTCTATCAATAGTTGGACTGTCTTCAATTGATTTCCCGTGAGATTTTAACAACATATAATGCACTAAGTCAATCAAGTAGCTGCAAATAATAACCACAAACACAAATTAATTTGTCATGTGCATATAAGACTGGTGTGTTACTTAAGGTAACTTTCTATTTCTTTATTTTGAAACTGCACAATCAGTACCGGTAATCATCCATAGAAAAAAATAATAAACTTGCACCTTAGAAGCAAATGAAATTTCATTTCCAAAAAACTGACACCCTAAAACAATACATTGTACAGATCAAATACTGATGAAATAACTTGACCAAATATTACACAAAACAGTTCTATCCTGTGATCAGTACTGGCTTTTACCTTTTCTGTAGACATTGTATTGTTGTCCACTTTTTCAATGAGAGAGGTCACTCTTTTATTGGCATCAGAAAGCTGGCAATTAAGGCAAAGTGCAATGTTATTAACAAGATGAATACCAATTTGATAATCGAGTATTTTAACATAGTTTCCAAGTCTCATGCATTGCGCGTGGAACCCACACATTTGAATGTCACCTTGTGTGACTTTTGCTCTATTTCTCACACATTTTCAAAAGTATCTTTCAAATCATGATCATTTCAAAATTATAACATAAAAAACTTTAACAATTAACACGATAAACACCACAAAATTCAGGACAATAATAACATGACTCATGAGATATCGCTGACAAATTGCGGATTCAAACCTTATTAATTTAAAATTCATTTTAGTGAGAATTTCATGATGCTTTGCAGCTATACACACATGTATAAGAATGAGGCAAGTGGCTGCCACAACAAATATGATCAGAATTGCCGCCATTGTAATACATACTGTATGCCTGACTATGGTATGTGGAGTTTCGAGAAAATCCCACACCTAATGTTTTAAATTAATATCATATTTGATTAAATTTATCAAATTTCTGAACTTTCCAGAGAGGCATTTAACATAGTACAAACCAACTGATACCTAAAATTCCATGACCATAAGGTGGTTTTCACATAAGCACCATCATGCAACAGAGGGTGGTCAACCATATCAGAGCAGAGAATGTTCATTCATTCATTTCGTTATATGTAACAGGGCTTGAAATAACATTCCCAAAGTTCCCAACCATGGTCGTCAGTGGTCATGACTTTCCCTTTTTTTCTGATTGAAAATCCTGCTTTTCTGCAGATCATAAACAATTTCTTGCAATATACGGTAGTAGTTTTGTATTTGAAAGCAAACAAATAGAACTAAGAGATACAGTGTAATTCTATTGCTACTATCAGTGTAAACACTTCTGAAGTAGACCACCATTACACAAGTCCATCAGCTTGCCCAGTAACCCTAACAATTATTGAAATTTAATGTGTGTTGTAAAATATACCTTCTCATTAAGATCAGATAACAAAGCTACAATTTCAGGAACATCTTTGGCAAGAACCTGTACGAAAAACACAGTAACTATTCACATTTATCACATATTCATATTTAATAATTAAAGCGGTTTATAGCAGTTTTTAAAAGCAGATATAAAGTTGAAGACTAGTTTGTGGTCATTCGTTTAAAGTTTAAACATTCTATTACAAGTAGCATTATTTAGTAAGCTTTTAAAGTCACAATTGTGTGTTTATTTTCGGCAAAGTTAAATAAATTATAAATAAATAAATGTATTTTTACCTCTGTTCGCTCCTCTGAATTCGCCATTTTGAAAAGAATTCCTATATTATTGCGAACAACCGCTAGAAGTTGTGACCGCAGGCTTGGACACTCCAGGTAACCACTGATCTATACTACAGTTCTGGTAAAAAATATAAACTATTAGTTAAAATTCCTACTTGATTTTCATCTGGTAGATGTCAGACCTGGTGATTGACGATGGAAAGCCAAACACATTTTGGGATCGAGTTAAGTGGGCATTTTCTAAAAACGAATATGGGGAAATCCGGCCAGAGATTGCACATATTCCTGTAGTGGTGTTCTGCGGTTCTTTGGTTGGAATGATGGTGGGTGGTCGGCATGGCACTAGGATACGGGGTGCTTCAAACATTGCTAGTAACCAACTGACTGTATATACATCGTCTGCACAAGCCGAAAGGGATCACTTCTCAGCAATATTGCTAGGATTTTTTCAATATGGTTGTCGTTGGGGTTGGAGAGCAGGACTCTACTCTGGCATATATAGTACGACACTCACTGCTGTGTCTATTGGTCGAGATAAGGAAGATGCATTGAATTACATTGCTGCTGGAGCAACCACAGGAACTGTTTATAAACTATTCTCAGGTTTTCGAGGGATTCTTGTAGGTGCTCTCTTCGGTGCTGGCATTTGTACACCTATTGGGTTAACCATGCAAGCACTGGGGCATTTTATTCCATATGAAAAAGTGTTGAAAG